TAACCAAATGCTTTTTATGATTTATTATTCTTCTATTTCCAGGCAGTTTCACTGTCTTCCCAATGTTCCCTGTATATGCTGCTAATTTAATTTGATTTCTCCTTTTATTTAGTCTGTGATTTTGTGGTTGATTTTTTTCTCCCTGCCCATTGTTTACATCCGTTTTTAATTTTTTTGTATTTTCCATGTGACCTCCTCCACTTTCCTTTCAACCAATCATGTGCGTGCGTATCATGTGACTTTGTCATGTGGCTTGCATGGTGCTGATGATGTCGTCCACGCTGGTGAACAGAAGGTAAAACTCTTTGTTCTGATTAGTGAAATAAATCTGGGACCACACCTGGCACCTCGGGCCCACTCATTTCTTCCTGTCTCAGATTTCCTAAGTGAAACCACCTGACGGATTTCCTCAGGTACTCAGTTCACAGCCAGCATCCATCATTTCCTGCAGCTTTGGCAGGACAATTCGATAACAGGGAAACCTTTCGTTCAATATTTTGCTTCCAAAAATTTTGGTCGCACCAATTTCTATGTATAGTAACAACGCATTAGACAAAGCCCATAAGCAAACTCCGATTTTTACCAGACAGGCCATAAGAACTATTTCCCAGAAGGCACAGATTTTGTAAATTAGCTCCAAAGCATTGTTACTTAATTTTATCCAGTCATTCTAAAAGCTCTAAAATGAGCCACATCCACATGATAATGTATCTAATGTATCCACGGCGTCAAAACGTCACAGAGAGAAACTGGACAGTTGCAACGCTTGTATTTGTTCAAAGCCAATGAGAGTACTTCCTAAAACCCATGCAGATGGAAGACTTTCTAAAAATCAGAGATTGAAAAATTAAAGTAGTTTGGCCTTGAATGCTGAAGTGTCACTTTTGTAGAGTGACCTGCCCCCAGGCAGAGGAAGGGGAAAAAGAAAAAGCAAATGTCACTTAGCAATTACCATGACTAGAGAGCTCCGTGTAATCAAGAAGCGTGTGATTGACCCTCGCAGCAAAAGAAATAAAATGATAACCTAATTAAGCGCATAGCAGTGACAAAATAATTAGTTAATATTGTGACTGTCACAACCTTGTTTAAACATTTCTCGCTTGCCTTAAAGAGAGAAGGGAGCCTCTGCTTACAGCTCCCCCTAGTAAAATTAACACCTATTCAGAACCTGCCCCTGGGGATCATGCCTCTCTTGTTCTCTTCAAACTGAAATTTGTTTATGTCAAATCACAATGGGCTGCACTGATCACCAAAGCAAAACTAACACCAATAACTGCCCGGTGAGCCTGCCCGTTTGACCTCACTTCTCTGAGAACTGATTGGGCGACATCCACACAAACAAAACCATCCACAGCTTGTCTCGCATGTTCTTTGTTCCTGTTCTGTCCTTTTGTTTGCCCCTCCCCATGTGTGTTCATGTTGTGTGTGCTCCCGCTTGCTCAATCTCCACCTTTACCATCGCTGAGAACTTCAGCTCTGCCCCAACTCAGTCCCATTTACAACCAACCTTACAACCAACCAGGACTCCTACACAAAGGACTTGGATGTTAGCTGTCCTCATTTTCCAAAAGGAAATGCTTGCTATTTAAATTTTATGTAATAAGGTGGAAATATCCCCAAAGCAGAGGAACATCTATGTGGTGGGTCTGTTTGCTTTAATAACATTGGTCTACCTTCAAAAAATTATTTTAATCTGTTGAATCTTCGGGCAAAGAAAACTGAGAGTCTACAATATTGTCAAGGAGCCCTGGTGGCACAATAGATTAAGCATTGGGCTTAACCAAAAAGTTGATAGTTCAAACCCATCAGTCGATCTGAGGAAGAAAGATGAAGCTGTCTGCTCCCATAAAGATACACAGTCTTGGGAATCCTATGAGTAGAAATTCATTAGATAGCTATGGGTAAGATGCTCTAAACTCCAAATGCTTCCCCTAATCCCATTCCCCACATACACATTTTTTTTAAATTATGGTTTATTTAATTCCCAAATGTACCTGCTCAGTGAGTGAAGTCACAGGGAAAGACCAAGTCCTTCTTCATGAAGTACGACAGACACTGGATTGAAATCCACTTGTTTCTTTTTTTAAATGAAATGTGGTCATCCCTGGGCAATGCCATCATTCGGAACAAAGCCAAGCACACCATTAACAAAGAGGACACTAGTTTGTGCCTCTGAAGAAATTATATTCAGGCAAGAAGTGCTTGAAATGTTTCCTATGATTACCCTAGAATCATATCCTAGCAGTGGTCTGAGCTGTCAGAAAAAAATGTGGCCAGTACTAAAAAGTCACTGAGAGCCTTACATGATTACCCCTTATCACACCACGTTCCCATCCGTGACAGACCCTCTCCAGCCTTTTACAAGGCTGCAGACAGAGGATTTTTGTATTAGGTGAGCAGCAAGCAGCAGGAAATGGCCCCTGAGAATGGAATTTAAGAGAATGGAGGGGTCAGAGCAAATGCTGTTTATGGGGAAGAGAAATAAAGCTGAGTTAGGGACAGTTATTGCTTCCTTTCTCTGGGTATTAGGAAGATTTAGAGTGAGTAGCTTGGGTAGTGGTGATATTAAGTGCTGTCAAGTCTGTTTCGACCCACAGTGACCCCATGTAGGGTTTCCAAGGAGCGGCTGGTGAGTTTGAAGTCTCTCTCTCAGCTGCTAATGGAAAGGTTAGAGGATTCAAGTAAGGAAGGCCTGATGGTCTTTCTAAAGTCTCAGCCACTGAAAAGTGGGGGCTTCACTGTGAGGTGCAGCTGACTTGATGGTTCTTGGCACTAAATTAGGAAGGTTTAGGTGATGCAGGAGCCAATCTCCTGCCAGCAATCGGTTGTACACCCCAAAAAAGGATTAAATCCAGTATTCCCTATACTGCCCCCACCCTTGAGAAAAAAAAAAAAAAAAAACCAACTTCCTGGAAGATGCTTAACACATGCTGGATGTTCCACCTTCCTGAGGATCAGTTCAAGAGCCCAGTCCCCAGGCTCACTTGGAGTTACTGAGCTGTAGACACCATGGTAGGTTATGCCAGGTAAGCCAAGGCACCTGGATGGCAGGAGTGGGCTTGCTGAGGTGAATTCAAGACACACCCAATCAATGCACATGTTTGTGTCTCAAATGATGGCATTGTGGAGTTGCAGGACCCAGTTCCTTGGCTGATTCCATAATGCCATGGTTGACTCTGTGTAAACGGGACTTCCCCGCCACCTTGTCCACCAGCATGTGTATCATGAGATACCCTTTACCCCTCTGTACACATGCTGCATGTCTGAGCATGGATCCTCCCTCCATTCATAATGGTCTTTTTTCTTTAGCTACTGACACTGATCCGTACTAGGAAATGCTGGTTCTGATTAACTAAACTCTTTAACACCCACTCTTCCTCCGTAGACTGAAAGCATCACTAACCACCCCTTCCACTTCCTCCTGTATTTTTTTTTTTACAGCTGTGTGTCTGGATTCCAACGGGCTCTGGCTGGTCGACATACACTTTTCACCAGGGTCACTAATTGCCTTTATTTCTAAGGACTCCTCGCACTGGTGGTGATCAGCTTAGAAAGTTAGTGTGAAGGGAATGAAGAGGAAGGCAGTGTTGTATATCAGCCGGAACCCTGTGGGCATGGACCCCCAGGCTCCTGCTGGCTGTGGGAGCTGCCAGTTTCTCTAGGGTTACCAAGATAAGGGCTGAAACATCCCAGGAGCCTCATACTTCCTAATAACTAATCCAACATCCATGAAATAGTGTCCAAGATGTGCACGAATTCCTCTTGTGGCCTCGGAGCCGGGTTAATTGTTGGTGATATCAGTTATTTCTGTCATAACTTCCTCAGCTTGGATCAGCCCCATAACCACAAGCCATACCTTTGCGGTCATATTTTCTTTTTAGGATGATGAAACAAAGATAATTGATCAATTAATCTGTTGGTGTTCTCACGACACCCAGGAGAAGGGAACTGGTATTTTTGTGGTTCAGTCTGTCAGAGCTCATTTGTTGCTATTTAATTTGTACGCTGTGCTACCGTTTATTTCCAGCCTCCACCCCCTTGCCAATACACACACACACACATTCATAATTCCTAAGAAAACTTGTGCTGAAAAAAATGTGTAGACTAGATGCCTTAGTCTTGGCCACAGAAAGCTAGGAAACTAGTCTTATTCATAGTCGTCAGTTCTGTGCCCCAGCATTCTCTGAAGACAGGGACCAAGATGGCAAGAAATCAGGTAGCCCTTAAACAAGTAAATCCTTAACAAGCTCCCAAAAGAAAAGTGCTCAGAAGGAAAAAAGAAACTCACTCCAAAGGTGTGATTTGGGAGAACAAGGCGTAACACAACTTGAGGCCCTTCTTTGTATTGTCAGGTTACTTTGTTTTAATGGTCAACAAAACCACTTCAGAATAGCTATGTAGGTTGCTATTCTAACATACAAATTTAACATATATCACGATAGAGTTGACAATAGAGTTGATTGTCATTTGTTTGATGTGTAAAGCTAAGAGCTGTGTTTTCAGAAAGAGAATTCATGGTCTAAAAACTTTCAACCCTAATTCCCTAAGGACCAGTCAGACTTCTAACCTTTTGAAGTCACTGGAAATGTTCTTTTGAGTTGGAAAAGCTGAATAGATTTCATACTTAAATAGCTAAATCATACCTTTGGGGCTTTTTAAACAAATAATGGAAAGGTATATGTTGTTGTTGTTAAGTGCCGTTGAGTTGGTTCTGACTCAGAGATTTCCAAGTACAGGGTTTCCAAGGAGTGGTTGGTGGATTTGAACTACCAACCTTGTGGTTAGCAGTCCACTGCTTATCCTAAAGGTATATACAAGTTTCAAATTGCTTGCAAGAAGACAACAACAAAAGATGACCAGAGTTTGGCTAAGCAAAATAATGAGTGTTTTGGTGCACACAATCCAATTTGGTAGTCAAAGTGAAAACAGCAGATTTTAATGCACCCCTCTTGAAACTGTGAGGACCCCCATGAGAGAGGAATCAAAGTGGAGGAATGCAGAAGGGGGTCCAATCTGCCACGAATGTCACTGGTACCTCAGCATTTTGTTCAGAAGCTATATTTCTTGGTCCTTGGGCTTTTTGTGAGGGAGAGGTAGAATACTGTTGTCCTTCTATAGTTCACAGATGCTATCCAGACGCCTTGGACTTGCTATAATTTTCGTTGTGGCGTTCACATATCCAGTAGCCATTTTCTCATAACAGGGTTTCTGTTGACAGACGGGAAGTAAGGGTAGGAGGCCAACTCAGATTTAAGGACACAGTAGCCCAGTAATTACAAAGGAAGAATCTATAATCTACATGGCCAGAAAGATACATTTCAATTTTGGTTTATTGAGGAATTTTATAGGCCCTGCCTATAATATATTCTGACTGTATGTGGCCTCATAGTCTGTCTTTTCGTCCTTGCGTACATGATTTGTATTCTGCTAGAAAATACCAGAACTGTCTTAATGTGTGCTGTTGGCGAAGCTTATTTTTAAGGTACTGCTGTTTTTTGAGACTTTGCATAAAATATTTTAGGGGAGATTTTTGACTCATGGCTGAAGCTACATTCAGAGGATGTAATTAACCCCAGTGGTTTCCTTGGAGCAACCTGCCGATTGCTGCTGAATTGCAAACCAACATTTACAAATAATTACAATATTGGTTTTACTGAAATTACCCCATAATGATTTCAATCAGAGCAGCCATTTCAGAACAGAGTGCACATTGGGAACCCTAAATAATTTCATCTGTTAATGTGTTCAATAAAGAGTGAGCTTCCTGAATGACAACGCCCGGTTCTCCTGCGTCAGCCCTGCCTGCCTTCACAGGCCTGGCAGAAGACTCCTTTGCCCAGAGAGCTTAAAACAACTAGTTTCTTTAGCGATGGCTAATCTTTTAAAAACATGTAGTCAACAGTAAACATTTGAAAATGAATAAGGCAATTGATGAAGCAAATATGGCTCTTCCCACATCTTAATGTACTTCCAGCAAGTTCTGAAGCCACAAAGAGCTGTCGGATCTGTATATTGTTCGTTGAATATGCTCTTCCTTTAAAAATAATATCAAAAGAGGGACTGTATTTCTGACCGAGGACCGCATCATTTTAAAAAGAATTAATCGTAATTACGTTGTTTCTTTTAACAGACAAATCCATGTCTTATTCACTTTGGAAACCTCAGTGCCTCGTAGACTACTTGGTACCTTCCCCAAATCCAAACCCACTGTCAATGAATTGGTTTTGACTCATGACAACCCTACAGAACAGAGTAGAAATGCTCCTTAGGATTTCCAATACTATAAATCTTTATGGGAGCAGACAACCTCATCCATCTCCCACACTTGGTATCTGCTAGATATTTAATATGCATTTGTTGATTAAACCATATTTCTTATTGTTGTTAAGTGCTATCGGGTAGGTTTCAACACACAGTGACCCTGGGTAGGGTTTTTGAGGGCTTAAATCTTCGTAGGAGCAAAAAGCCTCATCTTTCTCTCATGGAGAGGCTGGTGGACTCAAACCACAGTCTTTGTGGTTCACAGTTCAGTGCTTATCATATGAAGCCACCACACTCCCCAAACCATAGTTGTTGTTGTTGTTGTTGTTGTTGTTAAGTGCTGTCAAGTCGGTTCCAACTTATAGCAACCCTATGTAGGTTTGAGCCACAGACCTTGTAGTCCAAACCAACCTTGCAGTCCACTGCATTAACCCACAATGCCACACTGGGACTCCAAACTATATTTAAAACATTCTAAATTATATTACTGAACACTATATGGTGATTTTGTTGCATGCCATTGAGTAAGTTCTGACTTTTAGTGACCCTGTATAGGGTTTCTAAGGAGTGGTTGGTGAGCTTGAACTGCTGACCTTGTGGTTAGCAGTCCAATGCTTATCCAATGGCACCACACTGAGATCCACTATATGATTATACAATTAGCTAAATTCTATGAAACCCTACATACATGGTAGTTACTCAGCATATTATGGTGTTCTGGTATTGTAGGATAAGCATTGGACTGCTAACTGAAAGGTCGGATTCAAACCCACCAGTGACTCCTTGGAAACCCTCTACAGGGTCTCTATGAACCAGAATCAACTTGATGGCACGTAACAACTACAGGATAGTTTTCATGGTTTTTCTGTGATTACAATTATATTTTTCTGAAACAAATCCAGGTATAAAACAGGACCTTCATCAGAGCTATTGGTTTGGGAAATTTTGTTCATAATATCTTACCAAAGAGACTTTGGATCACTTTTTAAAGATAGGACTTTTTAAGGCAACTTTTTAGTAAGTTTCTCTGAAAACTTGGACTCTAGAGATATCGTATTGTTGATCTTGGGGTGCATATCCTTGAAATGGACAAATATCACACCTTTTATTTGTGATCTATCTGTCACAAGTATTACAAGAATTAACAAAAGTATACTTGGTGGTCCTTCCTAAGTTAGTGGCTCTGTCATCATGTCATAGTCAGGGTTGAAAGTCTACAGCATCGAGTTCAGTGCCTATGTTTTACAAATGTGGAGACTGAGGACTGGCTTGTCCAATGCAGCAGACAGACATCCTGTGTTCTACTGTGGAATTATCAACATTCAATTTAAAGAGATCCTCCCTTCAGGGAGAGCATCCCTTCTACAAAGAACAGTGTTGATTCAGCATTCTTTATTGTTAATTTTAAGTGCTGTCAAGTTGGTTCTGACTCATAACAACCCTGTATAAGGTTTCTGAGGAGCCCCTGGCCTTATATATGGTTAGCAATCCAGTGTTTATCCTACAGCACCTTATCAGGACTCCAGTTCAGCCTTGGAACCTCACAAATCTGAGAAGAAATACTAAGGAAGACAAAGCCAGAACAGCCCTTGTAGCAATCTCTCATCGCTTCCAAAGAGGTATTGGGAAAAGGGCTGGTCCACACCTTGTCAAGTGTTAGAAGAGTCACTGAAGTCACTTCATGGAATTACCTTCTACTTAGAGCAAAACGAGGCAATTCATCACAGAAGCAATGTTGTGATTCTGAGTGCAGAGAGTTTTCATGGTGAATGTCCATGCTCAGTCATTTGAGGGTGAATGTCCATGCCCAGTCATATAATCCAATGCATACCTTGATGTTGTCGAAACTCAATTTCTAAACCTTTCCAGTTTGCCTGGGACTTAGGAGTTTCTTGGGATGTGAACTTTCCATGTGAAAACCTGGGAAACTCCAAGCAAACCAAGAAGAGTTGATCCCTCTAACTCATTCAGAGCATCAGATTTCTAAAGTTCTGCTGTGCCTCCAACTTCCATTTGTCCAGCATTGCTGAGCCTATAAACACTTCCTGCCCTATTCTGAAACATTCTACTTAACACTTTGGATTTCTTTTGATCGCTGCATTGTATAATGGGAGGGACATCACTGAATTGTTATCTAAGACTTTAAATGGTTCAAAAGACTTTAAATGATCCAATGCATACCTTGATGTTGTCTAAACTCAATTTCTAAATATTTTCTACTGAATAGTTCGAACCAGTAGCTAGACATAGGCTTAATCAGCTTTGCCTGAAGTCCATTTGTCTTTTTATTTGTTTTGCTGAATTACTAATTTAAGAAAACAAATAGCAAGACAATAACAATAAGTATTGTACCCTTCAGATATCAAGATTTTGCCCTTCCAGCTACAGTGTGTATGTGTCTCCATTCCTACTGCTTCTCAAACTTCATGAGCACATAGACCACCTAGGAATCTTATTAAAGTGCAGGCGTGCATCCCTAATAAGCTATCAGGTGATGTGAATTCTGCTGGCCAGGTCTACATGACTCCTTCTTGTCTCAAAGAGCCACATTGGACTTCACAATGTGACTGGATAAGAAGGTGGCTAAACTCTGACTTTGCCAGAAGTCTTATCAATGGTGAAAGATACATTTTTAGGAGGATTGGATCTAAAAGATACACATGAACCACATTGTATGTAATAAACAGAAATCAAATTGACTACTCCAGTAGAAGAGATGTAGAAAAACTCACTATCATCAACCAAAACCATGCCAACAGAATACTGTGGGACAAGACCATTAATTGCTCATAAGCTAGTTCAGGCTGAAGTTGAAGAAAATTAAAACAAGTCTAAGGAGCCAAAATATGACCTTGAACATATCCCAACTGGATTTAGAGACCATCTGAAGAACAGATTTGATACATTAAACACTAATGACCGAGGACCAGAAGAGTTGTGGTATGGCATCACGAACATCATACAGGAAGAAAGCAAACAGTCCTTAAGACAAGAAAGAAAGAAACAACCAGAAAATCTATCACAAGAGACTCAGTACTTATTCCACAGCATAGAGATGCTAAAGAGCAAATGGAAGAAACAAGGTCAAAGAACTGAACAGAGAATTTCAAAGAGCAGCTCAAGAAGACAAAGTATTATAATGAAATGTGCAAAGGCCTGGAGTTAGAAAACCAAAAGGGAAGAACATACTCATCATTTCTTAAGTTAAAGAACTGAAGGAAAAAAAAAAAAAAAAAACAAGCTTCAACTTGCAATATTGATTGAACGATTCTTTGGACAAACTATTGAATGATGCAGAAAGTACCAAAAGAAGATGCAAGGAATACATAGAGTCACTATACTATTTCAAGACATAGCCAATTGTATTGAAGGTAGAAACCCAAGGTGCACTGATGGCTTTGGCAAAAAATAAGGCTCTGGAAATTGATGGAATATGAATTGAAGTCTTTCAACAAACTGATGGAGCAATGAAAGTATTCGCTCATCTGTGTGAAGAAATTTGGAAGACAGCTACCTGGCCAGCTGATTGAACAAGATCCATATTTTTGCCCATTCCAAAGAGAAGCGACACCATGGAATGCAGAAATTACTGAACAATATCATTAATGTCACATACAAGTAGCATTTTGCTAAAGATCATTCAAAAATGGCTGCAACAGTACATCAACAAAGAACTGCCAGAGTTTGTGCTGGGCTCAGAAGAGGATGTAGAACACCATATAACTGTGCTGACATCTAATGAATCTTGGCTGACACCAGAGAATACTAGAAGGATGTTTACCTATGCTTTACTGACTATGCAAAGGCTTTTGACTGTGTGGATCATGACTAGCTATGGATAACATTATGAAGAATGGGTATCCCTAAGTACTTACTTGTGCTCATAAGTAACCTGTACATAGACCAAGTATCAGTTGTTCCAACAGAACAAAGGGATAATTAATGGTTTGAAATCAGGAAAGGTGTGTATAGGGTATCATTATTTCATCATACTTATTCAATCAGTATGCTGAGTAAATAATCTAATAGGCTGGATTATATAAAAAAGAATGTGGCCTGAAGATTGGAAGAAAATGCCAATTAACAACCTGCAACATACAGGTGATACAACCTTGCGTTGCTTAAAGCTAAGAAGACTTAAAATAATTACTGATGAAGATCAAAGCCTTTGGTATGGGCTGCACCTCAGTGTAAAGAAAACAAAAATCTTCACTACTGGACCAATAAATAACATCATGTTAAATTGAGAAAAGATTGAAGTTGTCAAAGATTTCATTTTGTTGAATCCACTATCAACACTCATAGTTGTTGTTGTTGTTGTTAAGTGCCATCAAGTTGGTTCCAACTCTTAGTTGCTTGAACCGCTAACCTTGCTATTCAGACCGACTTTGCAGTCCAGAGCACTAACCTGCAGCTCCACAGCAGCTGTTAAATCAAATGGTGTATTGTTTCAGGCATGTCTGCTGCACAAGATCTCTTTAAAATGTTCAAGAGCAAAGATGTCATTTTGAGGACTAAGGTATGCCTGACCCAAGCCGTAGTATTTTCAGCGGTCTCATAATGCATGTGAGAGTTGGACAGTGAATAAAGAAAACCACAGACGAATTGATGCATTTGAGTTATCATGTTGGAGCAGAATATTAAAAGTACTATGGACTGCCAGAAGAACAAACAAATCTGTATTGAAAAAGGAACAGCCAGAATATTCCTTAGAAGCCAAGATGCAGAGACTTTATCTCTAATACTTTGAACATTTTTGGCTGGGACCAGTCCTTGAAGAAGGACATCATGCTTGGTAAAGTGAAGGGTCAGTGAAAAAGAGGAAGACCCTCAATGAATTGGCACGGTGGCAATAGCAATGGGCTGAAGTTTAACAACAATTGTGAGTATGGTGCAAGACTGGGCAGTGTTTGGTTCTGTTGTTCATAGGGTCACTATGATTTGGAACCAACTTGATAGCACCTAACAACAGCAACAGGTCTCTGAGGCCTGGTGTAAAGCCCTTCTGTCACGTATTTGGGATTCAGTCTTGCAGAGAGCATGTTAGGATGACCCACCAAGAAGGTAACTGTTCATTCCCTCTGCAAGGTTTCTGAAGGTCCTCGGGTGGTTCAAATGGAGTATGCTCTGCTTCTAATCTAAAGCTTCTAATCTAAAACCCAGCTAGCAACAAACACCATGCAAGAAAAGGTCTGGCGATCTGCTTCGGTGAAAATTACAGCCAAGGAGACCCTATGGGGCTATGGTACTCTGTAACACATGGATTTGTAATGGGTCAGAATCAACTTGACAGCAACTAACAGCAATGAGCAAGTTTTCTATCTGAGGTCCTGAAATAGACACAGAGAAGCTACTCCAAAAAAAGGCAAGATTCCCAAGCTTTTCAATCTTAACATTAGCATTGCATATGGGATCTTCTCTCACCCCATTGCTTTTGGTAGACACAATGAAGTCGTTTCTCTTAAGTCTTCAGTCTCTGCAAAACCAGCCTAGCCCTTAGTCCCTTAAAAGCACATCTTCCTTTTCCATCTTGGACTTGGTGCTAACAAACTAAGTGTATACTGCAAATAAAGAGAAAACATCAGCTTTTTTGTTGTTGATAAATGCCTAAGAAATTCCTTTTCCTTTCACCTTGCACAAAGAAAAAGACCTTGTATGATTGGTACTGTAATGCAAAGTACCAAGGTCTTATCACTCAGTCAGAAGGGCCATAAGAAACAGGATATTTACAGGAACCGTGCCGACAGCAAATTGAGCTTTATTTAATCACAACTGAGAACTGTTGGTTTTTATTTTACGGAATCTTAAGTCATAAAATTTAATTCATGAAAAGATAGTCCCAAGGAAGCAGTACCCACCCACTCTGGGCTGAATCATGTAACCAGGGAAGAAATTGGGCTGCTTTGGAAAAGTATTTCATGGATGTAGGTTTTCTACACAAACATTTACACTTATTTCAAGCCATTCCTAAAACTTTCTCAAGTTTATGAAAGTGAAATCTAGTTTTAAGATCAGTAAGAAGGGCAGAGTGACTAGTAGGGAGAGAGACAGAAAAGAAAAAAAAAAAGAAGAAAAAAGACTGTCTTATAGGGAAGGTTCCAGGTATTTTCCCAAAGGACATTCCCAGTTTGAGCCAAGTCTAAAGTATCTAAGTAGAAGTCAAAGTTTTACACTGATTGCTTTTTTGATAACCATTTGAATTTCTGAGAAAGCAAGAAAAGAGTCCAGCCCTACCCATCACTATATCCCATTCTGGTGGATTTGATTTTCGTGTTATGGAGAAAAGTCTCACATGAATGAACTGGCTGTTTCAGGAGAACCCAGTGCACCGAAGCTCGAAGGGCAGATGGGAGAAGATGGAAACTCTATAAAGGTGAACCTTATCAAGCAGGATGATGGCGGCTCCCCCATCAGACACTACCTGGTCAAGTACCGTGCGGTGAGTGCCCACCTTTCCCAGCCTTCACCCTCTCTGTTGGGCAGAAACAGCTACAACCAAGTAGGGCAGGGCCACAGCGGAGTTTGGTTCTGTGTGTATTACCATGGCTCATGGACGCTGGTCGGGATTTCAAAATACAAGAGTGGCCTATATTTGCTAGACGGTGCCTACACTGGGGCCATTCTAAAACCTCTGAATTTATTGTGGTAGCCACAAACTGAAACCACAGTTAATTTTTCTGTTCCTTAAAGTTTGCTGCAAAGTTGTGTGGTCATTATTTAGTATTGTTTGCAAACACCATCCAAATAAGCAACAATAGCTACCTTTTGTGAAGTTCTAATCCTGCCTGTAGCAGTCCTGGTAGCCCTGTGGGTTAAGTGTTGGACTGCTAATCTCAAGGACAGCAGTTCAAACCCATCAGCTGTTCCTTAGGAGAAAGATAAGGCCGTCAGGTTCCGTAAAGATTTATAGTCTCAGAAACCCAAAGGAGCAGTTCTACTCTATTCTACTGGATCTCTCCGAGTCAGAATCGACTCAGTGCCAGTGGGTGATCTTACCTAATGATGAGCTTGGCCCTAAACCTCCTCTTTCCAATCCAGCTCATCTTTCATCTGATGTTTTTCTCTTCAATACCTCCAAATTGAGAATTGTTGTTATTGTTAAGTGCTGTCAAGTTGGTTCCCTATTTAGAGTCTCCAAGGAGCGGCTGGGGAGTTTGAACCACCAACCTTGTCCTACAGCACCACATTAGGGCTCTCTCTTTTTTTTTTCCTTCTTTTGATTTTTGAATGAAACCTGGACATTGCCCCCTACCATCCTTTGCTGAGATTTGTAGAGGTGGTACCTAAGACCTGGGTATAGCCTCTTGCTAAGATTTCTCAGTAGTAGAAAAAAGGGCTTCTTCCCCCCGAGAAAGTTGACTTGCTCTGTCTGCCCTAGAGTAACAACGTGTGAGTTGTTACTTGTGTCAGTTGAGTGACAAAAGAAAACAGAATGCCACCAGGAATACCTCTCAGCTGGTAGACACAACCTGTCACTCCACTCAGCAACTGCACTTAATTACCAAGTAACATTTGAGTCTGGTGTGATAGGAAAAGCCTCTGGTATTCAATAAATGGTAGTCTTGTATTTTGAATGAAACCTCTGGAAACTACACCATGTTTTTTATATCAGGAACCAGAATATAACCAACATTCTGAAATATATCCAGGGACATACATCTTAGAACTCTCTAGAACAGTCCTCATGCATGTATGCCCAGCATTGTTGAGTGTGGTTGGGAGGGTAGGCAGTGCTTGGGCTTCTTCATGCCCTGAGGAGGGGATGTGATCTCTATGGATTGGCCCAATGACATACTGGCATCTGCTGTTGTTTGTATTTGTAAGTACCCACAGTTGCCCTACTGATGTGTGTAGTCCTTAGGATTCTTCAGGCTGGTAAAAAGTAAAGACTATGCCCTACCATTGTTCTTGACTTTGATGCCAACCGTTACTGATGCCCTTAAGTTCTGCCTATGAGCTGGTCTTCCTATGTTTGTACCTAAATCTCTCTGGTATCTTCTGCCCTCCTGGCTGGTTTCTCCCAGAAGCTCTCCTCTGATTGGAAACCAGAGATCAGGCTCCCCTCAGGCAGCGATCACGTCATGCTCAAGTCTCTGGACTGGAATGCTGAGTATGAGGTCTACGTGGTAGCTGAGAACCAGCAGGGAAAATCCAAAGCTGCTCATTTTGTGTTCCGGACCTCGGCCCAGCCCACCGCTATCCCAGGTATGTGCACCTCTGCTTTCTGTTAGTCTCCTGCTTTGAATTAATGCACAAGTGCTGCACCTCCTAATGTGCCTGAACAACCCCTGACAACTCGCTTGCTTACAGCCTTCCTCATGATCACTTACCCATGCAAAGCTTAATTTGCTTTGTACCTACTGTGCAGTGGGTTGAGATGTATTGTCCCCTTAGGAAAGGGTCCTGCTTTGAAGGACTGATGCTAAGCTGGTCCATGGGACCCTCAAATGGGAAGACCCCAGCTCTAGCCTAGCCTTGGAAGCCGGTTGAGTAAGGATCCTTTTCTGAGACCTAATCTGCCATCTACCATTTCCAATAAGGACCACATAACTATTGTTGAGCGCTTTCTATCTAATGCTTGCTTCTCTGCATAGCCATGGTCCAAACCTCTTCTCTGTGACTCCAAGAGAAGAAAGAGATGGTACCCAGTAGATTAGAAATCCTATTTGCCAAGGGCTTCTCAATTCAAACAAAGATTAAAGTGAACCACTTGAAACAGAATTATTGGAGAAGATAGATGCCCGAGACTATGACGGTAGCCATGCTCCTAGGAGATGCTGATCTGTGTCTAGGAATCCAGGAGCAACTCAAGTGTGGTAATAACATGAGAGTTCTGCTCTCTGGCTCAGCAACCTTTTTTCTGCTGGCCAATCTCCTCAGTGACCAAATCCTTCAAGACAAACAGAGGTCTTCTATATCTCTCTCTACTTTACTAGACCAGCCCAATACCAACCACAGGCAGGAGAGGTGGACATGGAAACCAGATGCAGCTTGGTGGAGGGAACCCCATAACTCTTTGCCCTGCTCCCCACCATGCCTGCCTTGTCGTTAGTGCTTGCCCAGGCTCTTGGCTGAGCGGTCCTGATTGTTGACTCCTCCTGCGGGGGGAAGACAGGCCAGCAAGGATGCGGGCTGCCTGCCGCACAGGCTGTGTGTCTGAGAGTGGGCTTAGTCAAGCAGCAAGAAAGTAAGAGTTCAGTGTGTGGTTCACAATGGCCGACTGTGCGTGAATGCGTGTCTGGAAAATGTGTGGGGCCTCCAGGGAGTTGGCAGGTGATTTTTAAACCATAGCCCAAAGCATCGATGGAGCCTCACCTCTGCATTGTCAGGAAGGCTCCCTAGCACATGCTGGGAGTCTCCACAGGGATTGGGGAAATGGTCAGCAGTGAAGGCAAGTCACATGGAAGGGATTGCAAGAAGTGTTTTGGGATACTGGTTTATAACATATCTACATGGAATGGCCCTGACTTCCCCCAGCCCCTCTTCCTCTGCTTTCATTGGTCAGTCTTGAAATGAGCAATTTAGGTGAGAGTGTCCAAATCCATGTGGTTTTTATGGGACCATGATAAAGAGTTGGGGTAAGGTAAAGCTGGAGTGAGATCGATTTCTCACTGAATTTGTACCCTGGATAGACAGGCAGGCCTGCAGGGCATGCTGTGTGCCCACACTGGGTACCACCAATAGCATCCACATCTGGGTCTGGAGAATGGCAGGGAGAGGATGTGTATCAAAGACAAGAATTCTGGGGTGACCTTGTCCTCCATTGCTATGCCCACTGGCAATGTCAGTGCCATTCTTGTTGGGACACTTGTAGAACCCAGAGAGAGCTGGAGAGAATGGCTCTACCACACAGTGCTGAGAATGTGACTTTCTGCTTGGTTGGACTTTGCTGGCCATTGTACTAGAATCTGAGAATAAAGCCTCTGTGAATTACAATGTTTGTTTACAGTGGAGTTCCATAGTCAGCAAGATAGTGGAAGGTGAGGAATGAAGAGCTAGATTCTCATCAGTAGGGAACTTCTTTACAGTAGGACAAGCAGTCTGACTGGTCTCTGGAAAGGTTGTCTCCTAGCCCTACATGTGATTTGCTCTTGCATAGTGAAGTGATCAGATGCACCTGTACTCCTACATGTAAAAAATGAGGCGCAGAAACTAGAAGACCACGAGTAGGCTCATTGACATACCTAAGAGGCTTTATTTACCTTAATGGAAGGTAACACTCTCCTAATCAAATTCTTACGTTTTACTGTAGAGGCTTCTGTTCTCTCACTTTAATTTCATTTGCTCGCTGGCCCCTAACCCCCAAATTAACCCTGCTGTTGCTGCTTCTGGCATTGCTGAGCTTCTGAACTGGCCTTATGGTATGGATACCGCACTGAACTCTCCTCTAACCTTTGTCAATTTCATTTACTAAGTTAAATTAACCTTGGATTCTTGCGTTTTCTAGATTTGACCTAATTTTTTTTTTCTTTTTATCTATTTTTTTTCTGTTTCTGTCTCTTCCTTCTCTTTCCTTCTCTCCCCTCCCCCTCCTTCCTGTGTCTGCCGTCATACATGTCACGTTGGACGTCACTGGGACACCCCCACCGCCACATTTGTGTTCAAACAACCACATTTTCTCTGGGGACCTATTGTTTGACACCAGCAGCAACCTTGGGCAGCTCCTCCGCGTCCTACACCTTTGTCTCATTGCTTTTCTCTGCAGTGACTCTTCTCTTGCTCTGTTAGGAGCTCGAAAACACAAATTAAATTGCTTAAAAGGCCAGTTCCTATGAGAATGATTAGTGCCCCTTTGGAAGAGCCTGCCAGGACCACCCCGGCCATAGCCACTGTGCGAAAAAGAAAAGTTTTTAAATTGGAAAAAAAAAAGCTTTACTTCCAGACATTTCTACCATACCCAGATACTTTTCTGCCAAGTAGGAAAGCCCTCTTTTTAATAGCAGTAAGCAAAAAAAAAAACATAACTTGAGAGTTCCTCATAAGCAACACTGTTAAAAAGCATTCAGCTAGGTTCACTGAGAAGTTTCTGCTTATCAGCTGCTTCCTTGTTACATTTTTTGTTGTTGCCTAAAAATGATGGAGCAGAGGAAGACTTCTAAGTACCTTCTAGAATTTGCGTTAGATTGTTAAAAGTATCCCCTATTCCTTCATTATACCTTCATGCTCCTTCTCTACCTTTCAGCAAGTACTCAGCTTTGCTTTCGTTTAAATACCCATGTTAAGAATGCCAAACTGCTGTGATTCTCCTGTGAACATTTCACTGGCAGGAGGAGCACACAGAAGTCATCCTGTTACCCAGGCACTGGGAGAGCTCAAATTGTTAGCTATTTTCTGGGGCTGATGAAATGTTCTGGGAGGTGCCCTGGTCCAGATATCTAATACAGCACCTCACATGTGTCTGTGACGTGCATTCAGCTTGGCTGGTGCTTGTCCTCTAGGCTGGATAAGTCCTCCTGGCTATGTGGTGCATGGCCTGGATTTGCATAGAGCCTCTGTGTCTTGGGGGTCATGGCCCAACAGCTGGCTGGAGACACCCATTGTGAGGAAGGCGTGAGTCACCCTGCAGTGCAGAACGAACGGGCTACTCCCAGACTGCCCAGCCCCAGAATGTGAATAAATTTGGACTTAATCAGCCTGGCCAGGACTGCCCAAATGCCCCAGTCTCCTACTGGCCAGTTGACTGCGTGATATTTAGACAACTCATGAAAAGGCAGCTGTTCCTCTCTGCTTTTGAGAAGTCATTCTGTCCACCTACCAAGGCAAGGAGGGCGGGGTGTGTTAGTTTAAGGTGCCACATTGAGCCCAGGATGATTCCTTGCTCAGTTACATCAGTGTGTGTGCTTGGGGGATGGACCTTCTACAGAATAAAACCCCTCCCTCCATTGTGGTCACATGTCATTCTACGTATCTCATCTCTAAGCATCTCTGCAGAAGTTTGATTTTTGTTCTTTTTGGTTTCTTAATTTTTTTTTTCCTGTTATTTTTTAACGTTCAAAAATTACCCAGACACATTGGGCCTTTCCCTTTGGGAATCCCAAGTAACCCCAGGCTGTCCACAGTCTGTGGAGCCAAGCCTACTTCCATGTGGGCACACACCAGGGTTCACCACACTCCCCATGTAGAACCACACCCAGACACCAGGGGGAGCACGTCACAGTGCTGCTGGGTCCAGCCCCATCTGCTTCCAGGCCAGCTTGAACCTCTCTCCCAGAGACCCTAACCTCTGGGACAGGCCAGGGCAGGGCGGTGAAAGCAGACATGGTTCTTAGGCACAGTGCAGAGAGGCAGGAGAAGAATATGGTGCCTCCTGGGCCAGGCATGCAGATCACAGAGCAATGAGTAGGAGCTGTAGGGAGAGCAAGGGGAGAGCCATCTGCACTTTGGTAACCCAGCCAGGTCCTCCCAGCATGTTCCTGTGGCCATCTTGGGAACCCAAGAGGGCTCAGCCCAGGGGTGTCCCTCAGCCCTAGCCCCTGTTCCACCCCCAGGTGGAACCCTAGTGTTTCTGAAGGAACTTTCTGAAGACCTGGCCCCATATATGAGGAGGGCTGACCGACCTGGGTCCCCTGGGGTCAAGCAGACCTCAGCTGAAATAGCATCAGAGTCATTGCCTTGGGACCATTCAGCCAGCCCCATGGTTTGTCATAGTATGCCATTGGGGGGGTGGCATTAGTACCCTCCCAGTCACTCTGAACACTGAGTTCTTGGTGAAGGCAAGCCCCTGCCCCACAGGAATCCCTAAAACAAAAGCTTTCTCAGGCTCCTGCAGGAGGGGACGCCTTTCTCTGGCCACCGTACCGCTACGCCCTGCATTAGTGCTGCCCATGCCCCAGACCATGGGGCTCTCTGCTTGTTGGGGGGATATTTATACAGCAGGTATGGGCCACATTTTTCTACTAATAAGACTGCTAACATTGTTGTGTAGATCATCAGCGAGGCCTTTATGAAGTTTACACCTTTGCGTTATTAAAGGAAATAACAGTTCATGTGAACTCAACAATGTGGTTTGATTTTATTTGATATTTGTGTGCTCCACAAAAGTGTCAGAAACCCTTTCTCTCCACCTCATTGTACCAGGATAACTTGATCCAATTTGAATTGGACCCCAACACTGTAGGCTGATGAATGAATGGAGTTCTAGTCAAAGGAAATACTTTCTAATGAGGAACAATACATTTTTCTCAGCAATCCTGAGAGCTGGTTCCTTGGAAGTGGTCACATTGGGGTGGGGCACACTCTGGGCACAAGTCTATGTAGGATGAGCCCCTGGTTTCACACACACACACCTCCATTATGGCCATTGAGTTGATTCCAACACATGGAGACCCTGTAAGACAGTGGAACTTCTCCACAGGGGTTCTGAGACTAAACATTTACAGGTGAAGACAATCTCATCTCTCTCCCAAGGAGCAACTGGTAGGTTTGAACCACCAACCTCACAGTTAGCAGCCCAATATTTAACTACACTCTCAGGGTTCCTTCCTGGATTCACAGCTCCCTTACTCTCCCTGACAGAGGCTGCCCAGAGTTACCTTGTTACACGGAGACTCTGAGGGAAGGTTCTCTGGCACACCATCTCCTGTTTGCAATCACACTTGCCATCTCCTGAGACCAGCCGTGCACTTAGCAGCTTTTGGGAAGAAGCCAACAGATCTATAAGGGGGTCACCAGTAAGCCAGAACCTCAGCCTGACAGTTCTGGGACCCCAGCAGCCACATAGAGGTGGAAGGTGTCAGTTCTGTTGCCCTGGTGTCCACCAGGCATCTGTAAAATGTGTGAATTGTATGCCGATATCATAGCAGTTAAGAGTGTAGGAATCCTGGTGTTGTGCTATAGGATAAGCATTGGACTGCTAACCACAAGTTTGGCAGTTCAAACCCACCAGTTGCTCCTCAGAAATCCTATACAGGGTTACTATGAGTCAGAACCAACTCACAGACACTTAACAAGAGGATAGGTGTATGTATGTAATGTCAGTGTAGGGGAAAGCCCATTCCCTCCCTTCAATGCCATCCTCTTACACCAGGAACCACAGAAGATGGATAGCCCCAAGCTTCCTAATCTCAGTGTTGGGGAATCACTGACTCTGAGGTTATCGGGGAACTGCTCCCATGAAGCATCCTTTGCATGCATGGTCTAGAGCGAGTTAGTCAATTGAGGTCAGATAGAAGGTCACAGCAAAAATAGATCCCAGAAGGTTGAGTTTCCTTGTTCTTCTGAAAAATGTTATACAAGATGTGGGAGATCACCTTTGTCCTTCTAGCTTTGTTGGAGTATACAATTCTATTGCATCCACCAAGAGATAATGAGCATTGGTTGGACTTGAATACCCTTTCATCTGTGTCCCCGCAGTTCCCTTATTTAGATCTTCTCTTTTGTGAAAGTTACAAGCCCTCCAGCTCCAGTAGCATCTCAATTCCTCTAGAAGTCTAGATTCTTCACAGGGGTAAACCAGATGGTGCATCTCATCCAGAGCCAAGAGGTCATCCAGCCTCTACTTGAATACCTCCAGTAACGAGGAGCTCACCCCCCAGGTAGCTCACACTATGTTTCCATAGCTCTGTTTGCTTGTTCATTCTCAGTTGGAGCTGAAATCTGCCCTCCCCCTTCCAGAATGTCCACCCATTGCTGCATAGAATAAGATTAATTGTTCTCATGACACACCTTTAAATCTTTGGAGGCAGCTTTCTCATCTCCAGGCTATACCCGCACTCAGTGAATTTGAACATTTTTTACTCTGAGTCAGCTTTGTCCTGAGTGCTGGAAAGACATGAGGCAGGCAGGGTACCTGGTAAAACATTCTAGATGCTAAGGATTTACTGATAATGAGCATGAAAGTGAAGAAAATGGAAGATGGTGGTCATGTGGTTGATATTGGGTGGAAGTACCTCACCAGGAAAGAGGTCACGGAAGGCCTCTTTGAGAAGGTGACAAGGGAGCTGAAACCTGCAAGGCAACAGAGAGATCCAGAGCAATTCTGAGATGGAGTGTTGCAGGCAAGGCCCTGAGGCAGGGACAGGCTGGGTGTCATTAGCAGATGGAACCAAGGCCTTCATGCCTGGATGGAGCACAGTGACCAAGGAGACAATGCTATGGTAGTGGTCAGTTGAGTAGACAAAGGCCACATTAGGTGTAAGCCCTTTTAGAGAAAGATTTAAATCTTACACTGTTTGAAATGGGAAGCTACTGCCCTCAGTTACCCCACTGTTTGCCTTATGCCACAGCTGACATCTTTTTCACCTTCTGAGCTCACTCATGATGCTCAGACTAAGTACAGCCCCTGAGCTGGGTCAGCTGAGCCCAGATCTGCAGTCATGTCTAATGCTGACCTCCCATACACATAGAACAAACTTGGCCATTGATTCCAAAAAGACAGACATCCCCCTCACACAGAAATAGTTTTATAGGCTGCTACTGCAAGAAGGAAGAAGCTTTGGTAGCATAGTGGTTACGAATTGGGCTGCTAAGCTCAAGGTCAGCAGTTCGAAACTTCCAGCTGTTCCGTGGGAGAAAGATGAGGCTTTCTGCTCCTGTAAAGATTTACAGCCTCGGAAACCCTGTACAGGGTTGCTATGAGTCAGAACCGACTCAATGGCACTTAACAAGTACAGGAAGTAGGCAATGAACACCTATTGGGTTTTGATGTCAGGAAATTGTATCAGCCAAAGTGTCCATTGTCATAGATGAAGAGAAGTTCAAGGCTAAAATTTCTTCCTCTTCAGAGAAACAGCTTTGGGACCCAGAGTATGAGGCAAGGTGTGAGGCCTGCATTTCTTTCTTTGTTCTTTGGATGGATGTGTGAGGTCCACGGACCCTAATGGATGACTTTGTCTCTTGAGACAATCCAGAAACACCTCTGCATTGGTGGCTGCTAAGAAAATGACCAACTGGCTGAACTTTGGGGCCAGTAGCCAGCTTCCTGCCTCCTGAGCCAAGAGACAAAGTAGCTGGAACTATATCTGCTGAGCACAGAGTTCTTTGCCAATTTCAGAGATTTCCTAAAGTCTTCCATGCACAATGAGGAGGGTTGAGCCAGAGAGCCTGAAAAGGAAAAGCTGGGAAGGAAGGCCAAGGTCCCACAGGCCAAAAATATTTTCAAGATGGCGAAGTGTCCTCCAACTCAAGCCATCCTAGCCTAGAGTAGTAGGGAATAGCTTGTGGGTGGTCATCTTTGTGGCCTGTGCTGGGGGTCCTTACCATGAATGGAAGTGTGAAATAAGGACTAATGGAGTGGGACTTGCAGACCTTGCATGACTGAGCAGACCCCTGAGACAGAGCAGCTTCCTCTACCCCTGGAACACCAAAGGCATAAAAAGAGCATGGCCTATTCATGATTCCATTCTCTGGTTTGACTGTATGTGGGAGCCTGGTCACTGCGTCTAGCCCTGGTACTTACGTGGGGTACAGATATGGAGTCAGGCAGGGACAGAGACCCATGCAGTGGCCACAGATCCTGCGTGCCATCCTCAGACTTGGTGGTTCCCATGGCCCTGAGGTCACAAGAAGCTTCAAACACGTCTATCTGTGAGGTAGATTGTTGGTCCTGGAAACATGTCCTTCCAGAAGGACGAATCAGAAATGGAGCCACAGTTTCTACATTGGCTTATATGCAGAGCTCACATCAGTTCCCCTGCCCTTCCCTATGAGTGTTCATCTCCCAGATGGTGGGTGTTGCCAAAGGAGTGCCAGCTATATTCCAGGTGAGCACCTGGTGTCCCACGGGGCTGAGCCAGGGGTTCCTCTGTGGAGCCACACACAGCCCAACATCCTGGGAGCTGGATGGACATTAGGGAGGTAGGACGCAAAGGCTCATTCAGAGGGAGCCCAGCCAGACCTGGGGTGTTGGGTGCTGCTTGAATGTGATGGACATTTGTTCTGCATGTGAGCGTGCCTGTCCGTGTGGGTATGCTTCTCTGTGTGAGGCAGCTGGCTTTCACGAAGTCTCATCCAAGCATGCCTGCGCTCTCAGATGGTGAGTACCCTCAGACCTTTCACCTTGCCCAGTGGGCCTTGCGAAGCCACTGTCTCCAGAGTCACAGAGGGTCCACTCTTCTTCCTAGGCGGCAGTGTAGAAGGATAAGCCGTGAAGCCCCACATGGTCCAGTACAAAGCTCCTTTGGAGGCTTTCCTAAAGAGAGAGGAGGTGGGGCTGTGCATTGGGGGCAAGGGGGTCCTGTTGTCACCACACACTTAAGGGAAGCCCTAAGTTCCCTCTTTTCCCTACTAGTTCCCAGCTCAGCTGGGAACCAGTCACCCCTGCCCACCTGCCTACCCTACAGAGCCATTAGCTGTCCCCCTGGTCCACTGTCCCAATTGCCCCATCACTCAGTGTCTTCAGATGCTGACCAGCTGAGCTGAGTCTGCTCCCGGGGCTCATGGGAAGAACAGTGGAGAGTGGATCTCGGGGGACACTCAGGCAGAGGGCAGAGACAGGGCTCTAGTCCCTGCTCTTGTTCTGACTGTGGAAACCTCATATAAAGAGGGGGCTGTCATGTTCACCCATGCAGATGTATAGAGACCCTTGTCTCAACACCTGGGCATAGAGAAACCTCAAGGAAGGGGTCACTCTGGCCAGGGATACCAGGAATTTGTTTATATGGGCCCTACCCTGTCCCCAGGGGCAGTTGCTCAGGAGCCCAAGGGAGTCTCATCTCGATCTGTTAACCATCGGCTATCTTTCTCTTCCTCCCACTCAAGCCAACGGCAGCCCCACCTCAGGCCTGAGCACCGGCGCCATCGTGGGTATCCTCATTGTCATCTTTGTCTTGCTCTTGGTGGTTGTGGACATCACCTGCTACTTCCTGAACAAGTGTGGTCTGCTCATGTGCATTGCCGTCAACCTATGTGGGAAAGCCGGGCCCGGGGCCAAGGGCAAGGACATGGAGGAGGGCAAAGCTGCCTTCTCGTGAGTACACACCCCCACAACGCAGGGGGGCAGAAACTGACCACCTCTGAGCCATCAGCTGAGACCTTTTCTTCAGTTTTATTGTGACAGACACACACACATACCCATGTCTGTAGAACTATGCACCGTAGAATCTTTAGGAACTGATTTTGGGGGGCAATAGATTACCAGGTCTTTCTTCTAAGGTACTCAAACCTCTAACCCTTCATCTAACAGCCTTGCAGGTTTATACCTCTCATGAATCAGTGTCCACTCAACAGCAGCCAGTTTACTGATTTTCCTCAGCTTCAATTTCCCCATTTGGAAATTCCCAAGGAGAAACAAAAGCAGTTCAAATTAAATGTCTCTCAAAGCTTTGTCTTTGGGGGATACCTGTTTTGAAAAGCAGCTTCTTTGTGTCCAATCTCAGAATGAGTGCACCAGCTTGATAATCTCTCTGTAGGTAGAAATGAGCAGACTTGGCAGATCTGATTCTGGAAAGGAGCTAGAATGTGGAAGCCAGTATTTAAGGAACACATTCTTTCATCTATACATCATTAGCAATGATTTACCAGTTGTGGTGCTGTGGGTTAATGCGCCAGACTGCAAAGCCATTTGAACTGCAAGGTCGGCGGTTCAAGCTCACTAGCTGCTCCTTGGAAACCCTATACAGGGTCGCTATGGGTCGAAATCGACTCAACAGCACTTAACAACAACAAGTGTGGCGCTGTGGGTTAATGCACCAGACTGCAAATCCATTTGAACTGCAAGGTTGGCAGTTCAAGCTTACCAGCCACTCCTTGGAAATCCTGTACAGGGTCGCTATGGGTCTGAACTGACTGGACTGCACTTAACTACAACAGCATGGTCAAGACAACTCTGTCCCCAGACTCCAGGGTACAACAGTAAAGCAGATGGAAAACTCCTGTTCTCAAGGAACTAATGATCCAGATGCTGTTCTCGCCAACATCTGTGGGGGAAACAAATCCTAAAGCAATTATTAGTGGGATCCTTCCCATACCATTATTGGGTGGGGCTGAGCAAGAAAATCAGTCATTTACCACCACATGCCAGGCACTATAGATATGTATTATATTATTAGCATTCTCCAGAGGATCGTTTCTCATACTTGGGACATGTTGTCAAGAGGGACCAGTCCCTGGAGAAGGACATCATGGGAAAAGTCAGTGAAAAAGAGGAAGACCCCCAATGAAATGGAGTGACACAGTGGCAACAATGGGGTCAAACATAACAACAATTGTGAGGTAGATGCAGGACCGGGCAGTTTGGTTCTATTGTGAATAAGGTTGCTATGAGTTGGAACCAACTTAACTTCATGGTACCTAACAACAACAGAGAAACAGAAGTGATAAGATCTATCTATACCTATCTATCTGCCTCTCTATAAGAGGACTTCAAAAAGCTTGTGGAAAATGGATTTAAAAGATAATGGAGTTTTTCCACAAATTTTTTGAAACCCTCCTTATATCTGTTGAAAGATTTCTTTTAAGAAATGGCTTGTTGTTGGTAAGTGCTGTGAAGTCAGTTTCGACTCATAGCGACCCTGTATAGGGTTTCCAAGGAGCAGCTGGTGAGTTAGAACTGCCGACCTTGAGGTTCAAACTGACCTTGTGGTCCAGTGCTTGTCCTGCAGTGCCACAGGCAAGTCCAAAGTCTGTAGGTCAGGTAGCCGGCTGGAAGCTCTGGCAGGATATCTGTTAGTCTCGAGGCAGGATTTCTTCTCCCTTATAAAACTCAGATTTTGTTCTTCAGATCTGTAACTGATTAGATGAGGCCCCCCACGTTATGGAGGGTAATCTTACTCAGAGTCAACTAATTGGAAATACTAATCACATCAACAGAATACCTTCACAGAAACATTGAGACTAGTGTTTGACCAAAGCACTGGGCACCATAACCTAGCCAAGTTGACACATAAAATGAACCTTCACACATGTACATATGTGTACATATGCATACTTGCATGTACATATGCAAGTATGTGCATATAGATTATTTGAACATTTATCTGTGATAACATTGTGCTGAGCACTTTGCCTACGTTATCTCAAAACAACTAGACAAGGTAGATTATTTGCCCCATTTTACAGATGAGGAAACAGACAAAATGTGATGAAGTCAGAGACTTGGGCACTTGAGCGTACACGTTCCCCTCCCCATAGCAAACCTGAGCACCAGCTAGCTGCCTGAGGAAGCCTAGCTGCCAGCCCTTAGGCCCAGCCTAGGTACCCTAGAAGGGGCTCTCACTACAGAACTCTCTCCACAGGAAAGATGAATCCAAGGAGCCCATTGTGGAAGTGCGAACTGAGGAGGAACGGACCCCAAACCATGATGGAGGGAAACACACAGAACCCAATGAGACCACGCCGCTGACAGAGCCTGAGTACGTGGGTGGGATAGGGCCCGCAACCTCATCAACCCCACGCAGACCTCCCATGCTTCCAACCCGCAGCTCCAGGCCCACCATTGCAGGCCAGAATTCTGGAGCCTTTGCCAGAAGACTCACCTGGCCCAGAAATGCTTGGCCCGTTCTCTCCTCAGAGAGAAGGCATTCTCATTGGGAATGGTTATGCTATGGGGAGCAGGGGGCTTTAAGAGTCTCCTAGGACAAGTGGGGATCCCTAGGTCCTGTTCCTACCACACATACACCTCCAGAAAAACGGTGCATGAAGAGGACACCTCACTGAGAAAGGCTGAGTTTGAGAAGCTTAGCAGATTCTGCATAGGACTTCCCAGCATTCTAGGATTTTCTGTTTTCTTCCCAAAAGGAAGAGGGAAGTTGAGAACTTGGTAACTATTCTTGTCTTTCCTGTTCTCTGAAGCCTCAGAGCTCCTCAGAGACCCTGGCCAGGTGCCTGGCTGGCCATCCTGGGTGCTTTGGATTTGAGAGGAATCAAGTTTAATGGAAGCACAGAATCTGTGGCTGGAAGACCCCACCGCCCATAGGGGCCACTTAGTTCTTCCTCGTCTACCTCATTCCTGACCTTCCCCATCACTTCCTGTGGCGCTCTGCAGGGCAGCTGGGCCCAGCTACTCTAGGGTGTCTAGAGCCTCCTAGTTCAGGTTGAACAATGGACTTCAGCCTTCTCTCCTTGAGTGGATACTTAGCGAAGGCCTGTAGGGTCATCAACAGAGGACTGCTGCTCCCTGGTAGATGCCGTGTATCTCTGTTGTCTCTTGTGTCCTCTTCTGCCCATCTGGGCTTGTGCTTCCTCTTGGCGTCCTTGTCTTTCTGTGGGCCTGTGTCCGTGTGTGCTTAAAATTGCATGCCCTGCCCCACAGCCCCTTTCCTTGGCTTTCTCCCTGGTCCCCCTGCTTCTCTGTCATGTCTCAGCTTCATTGTCTATTCTCTCTACTTCCTGTCCTCCCCACAGGCTGCCTGCTGATACCACAGCCACTGTTGAGGACATGCTGCCTTCTGTCACCACGGTCACCACTAACTCTGACACTATCACCGAAACCTTTGCCACTGCTCAGAATAGCCCCACCAGTGAGACCACCACCCTCACCTCCAGTATTGCGCCCCCAGCCACTGCCATGCCTGACTCAAACTCTGTGCCGGCTGGCCAGGCCACCCCCTCCAAGGGGCCGGGCGCCTTGGCCTCCTCCCCGCCCCCAGCTGCCGCCCCCAAGGTCGCCCCCCTCGTTGACCTGAGCGACACCCCGACCTCAGCCCCTGCCACTAGCAATTTGTCTTCTAGTGTCATGGCCAACCAGGGGGCTGTTCTTAGCCCAAGCGCCCCTTCCGGTGTGGGTGAGGCTTCCAAGATCCCTCCTGTGAGCAAGCCAGCCCCCAGCCCAGCCCCCGCCCCGGCGGGGGCAGCTAGTCCCCTCGCAGCAGCAGCAGCTGCCACTGCCACAGAAGCCCCCCAAGCCAAGCAGGAGGCTCCCAGCACCAAAGGCGCGGACCCGGAACCCACCCAGCCTGGCCGCGCGAAGAGCCCGGCCGAGGCAGTGGAGGCTAGCCCGAAGAGCCAGGCTGTCTCCATCAACGCCACAAACCCTTCCCAGGGCGAGGACTTTAAAATGGACGAAGGGAACTTCAAGACCCCAGATATTGACCTTGCAAAGGATGTTTTTGCAGCCCTGGGCTCTCCTGCTCCCGCCGCCGGGGCCAGTGGACAAGCCCCTGAGCTTGCTCCTTCCACTGCAGACAGCTCTGTCTCGCCTGCACCGGCACCTGCACAGACCGAGTACGGCTCTTCTCTCTTGTCTGCTGTTGTCGGGTTGTGTCCTGTGGTGGTGTGCGTTTGTGCTGTGCTGTGTCCTCCTCGTTACTTGTGTCTTCAGACTAATCCAGGGCTTCTGGGAGGCCACTGTCAACCAAGAGGCTGGGAGAAGGCAGACAGTGGGGACAGGCAGCTGGGCCCAGGGAGCAGCTTCCTACTCACTAATTAGGCCATGTTAATTAGGCTTCATCTTTATCATTCTAGCAGTGGCTTCTGTTTTCCCTGGGGGGTGGGACAAGGACAATAGGTGGGGCAGGGAACCTGGCATCAGGGTCACTGATGAGCATCACTTGCGAAGCCGGATGAGGAGGTCACAGTTCCTGTATCAGCCACCCTGGGGCCAACAGTCATGAGTTAGCTGGCACCAGGCTGAGTCCCTCCCATCCCAGAAAGGCAGGAAGAAAAGAGGTAGGGCCTGGAGAGGATGTGGTCCAGCGGCCCCTCACACTCCAGCTGAGATGCCCACACCCCATTCCCCATCTTTGTTTCTCCTGTTCTTGGAGAGGCTGGGAAAACTCAGGGCTCTCAAGCACCAAGTGGTTGCCGGGTCTCTAGGTCCTTACTTGAAGGATTTCTTAAATGTGATGCCAAAGTCTAACAGTACCAGATGAGGCTGCACATGCTCCAGTACAGCCTCTTTCTAGGACTGATGGAGGCAGGAAGCAAACCTAGATTGTTTGGGGTTTTTTTTTTTTGGATGCTCCTCTGACTGTCTCCCAGATAAGCTGCACCAAGACTTTCAAGCAGAGTCTGACTCGGAGGCACTGACTTCACTGTCAGGCTCCACAAACTCTGCCCACTCAGCCTCCCACACTCCATCCTTTACCGTAGCAAGAGGCGTTCTCCGGCCTCTCATCAGACTCCCATGGAAAGCACTTTCTCCCCCTACCTAGGCAAACCATAGAGGCTGCATCCTGATACCCAGAAAGAACACAGGGTGGGGTGGGGCTACAAGCCAGAGCAGGTTGTTTGCAAAGGGGTCCTGTGGAGTCAGGCCTGGGGTGGCCTCCTTTATATCAAGCTGAGCTGTTGTATCTTTCGCTGATAAGGGTGGAGTAAAGGCTGCGTCTGCTACCCCGTTCCACCACAAAGCCAGAGCCTACTTGGCTGTACATGAGAATCCTCAGGTGCTTTGAAAGTCACCAATTTAGTCAGAAGCTCTGAGTGCAAGAGCTTAGCAGCAGCAATGTTTAAAGTTCCCTGGTGGTGCTGCTGAGCAGCTGCAGTTGGAAACCAGTGCTCTAGCTGGAACCGGTTCTGAGGGCTGGCTAAATCAGGGATCTGGCTGCAAAACATGATCTCAGTGCGGCTTTTTCCCCCAATTCTCCACAGGAAGGGCCCTGTAGAAGCAAAGTCGGAGTGTCAGGAGACAGAAACAAAACCAGCACCACCGCCAGCTGAAGTCAAGACGGTCCCCAACGATGCCACACAGACAAAGGAGAACGAGAGCAAAGCATGATGGGTGATGAGCAGCGAGCAAAGATCAAAATAAAGCGTGACACAACAACTCCAGAGCATTTCCAATCCCACACGCGCGCCCACCCGTGTGCGCGCAGACACACACAGACACACATGCACATACGACTCATTCCTCTAGTGTCTTTTGCCTTTAAACAAACAAACAAAATAACTAAACAGATAAACACGGGATCTCCTTTTTGTAGCTTTATAGAAAAGGTTCCTTTGTTGCGCACTCACTTGTAAGAAAACGAGACAAAAAGGTTAAACCCACAGCCAAACTAGGACACGCCGTTCCCTGGTTCCCTGAAACCATTTAGAAATCCAACAAAAGGACCCCAAGAAGAATCTAGGAAGCTCAGAATAAATCTAGGTTCAAGTAGACCGCACTTGGTGTCACCCAATTGGCAGAGACCAGTTTCAGACAAGTACTTCCAGGCATTAAGACAACCCGAATGAACAACTCCACAGTTTATTTTTATACTTTTCAGTCGAGTTTGAACTCTGTAAAACCTCATAAATAAGTTATAATTTCTGTTCACTTTGTATCTGTTCACTGTGCAAAGTGTGTCACCCTTTTTAGCTGAATCCAGTTCCCATGTAGATTCTTGTTTTATAGGGAGAATGCCAAATTGCAGCTTCTCGGGGTAGATTTCAATTTGCAGTATTTTGGACTTTTTTTTCTTTTTTGTCCTCTTTTCTCTGTCTTTCGCTTTCTCTCTCTCTTTCCATCAACTTTGTTTTCCAATGTTTACAGATTGGCAACTGTTTGACTTTGGTTGTGTTTAAATGTCCATGTAAAAGAGCTGCCTTTTTTTTTTTTTTCAAAGTGACAAACACCGCATAGAGGTGGGTAGAACCATCACAGGATTGCTCTAGCACAGAACACCTTTACAAAAATAGCATTATTTACAGTGGTTCATCCACCATTCTGATTTTGAAATTGTCGCCTGGGTCCAGCTCAGGTTCATTTGTTCTGGTTTGGCTTTTTTGGTTTTTGATTCTTTGGGTTTCCTGTTGGGGAGTAGGCCACTTTCTGATGAACCACCACCTACCTGCACCTGTAACAACGGACCTGCACGCGGGGCATCACTGCTGTTCTCTTGATGGACTCACTAGGCTTTGTTGAATGAAGCAGAGAAGATTGTGTAGTTAGGGCTGGTCTTGGTGAACACACACTTTTTTTCTATTTTTTTCTTTTATTAACCCCATATGTCCCCTTTTTGTAGAAAGCCAAATAAAATATATACATATAATTTCCTTTTGAGCCCAGAATCTAGATATGAGCAAAAGAGAATGTGTGCTTCAGGGAACTAGTGTTTTTGTTTGGGAAATTTGCTGAAGTAAAGTAACACCGGCCTTCTGCTCTCTGACGCAGCATTTATAGAAACAAAAGGGGGGGAAAGTAACAACCTGCAGTCTTGAGTCATAACACAATTTTTCTGGATTGGAAACCAAGTGGGGGGCGGGTGGGGAAATACAGAAACTTTAAGGGAAATGGGTGGGGGGAGATGGGAAAAACCAGCCCTTTGTATAGAAATTTTCCTTTTTTTTTTTCCTCATTCTACTTTAGAACTGCAAGCTTGTGCACTGTGGATGCGTGAATATTTTAGTGTGAAACGTGTTTTTGTCATAGTATTGAAATAAAACTTCAACATAGTTTGGTTGTGGAAGGTATAGCAGATAGTTCAGAAAAAAAAAATATTCAGGAAAAAAAAAAAAACAAAAGGAGTCGAAGCCTTTAAACAAAGAAAATGAAATTAAAATTATTATAATGATGAAAAGGATGATAAGTAAACAGAAATCAGAAGACTGGCATGCAATCCTTTCCTAAAGTACACAAACAGCACGAGATTAGGGTGGCAAGACTGCCTCTGGGTCTGTTGTTCTGTGGACCACATGCTCCCATGTTCTGATGATTCTGCAGTCTGGTCAGTGATGACGCTAGATTATCATTTCAAACTGTGAAAAATAATGGTCTTGTCATTTGCTCAATGTGGGGTTATTTTGCATTTTCTCAGCTCCTGGGGATGGAAATGGAGGATTCCAGCGTACACAACCTTGGCCCCTTGATTCTAGGGCTTACACAAATCCATGGTTCAAATACACAGGCCTTCAGGGAGAAAGTAATTAGAAGAAAGTTATTAGAGCGCACAACAGAATGGAAGAGCTTGGTTGTCTGAGACGGGGGGTCCCAGAGGGAAAGGTGGTTCTTCAGTGGAAACAATTCCTCATCTTGTGATGGTAAAGGCTTTGGACAACCAAGCCAAGCCCACACTATACCTCACCAAGACTAGGTGTTTCATTCCAAGTTGTGTGGTTAGGCAAACTGATTTTGGTTCTGATGGTTAGGAAGAGACCCAAGGTATAGTCATCCCTCCCTCAGATAACCCGGCCTAGGGCAGCAGACCCCCCACCCACCCTAATCCCGGCTTCATGATTAGCTGGAAGCTAGGACTCTGCCCACATTTTGATCTGCCCCTCTCCCATAACACAACATAGGTTTATCTTGGTGTGTTTGAGCTTTCCTTTCTTTACAATTAAAGAGTGATGCTTTCTCTGCAGTCTAAGAGGGAGCCGTGTTATTTTCAAGATGGTCTATCTTTTATGTTAAGAGATAAAAGCTTATCATTTTCCTATTTGAATTATTTGGAGGCGGGATCAACTCTAACAGTTCCCAATGTCTCTATGTGTCTATATGTGTATGTGCTATACATGTGTATTCACATAAATACCGGCATGGCCAGGGTCTGCTGGAGGGGCACTTGAATGCCATGTGTGAGGTATCCCAACCCTGAAGGGCCGCAGTGTACATAGTGCAGCTTTTGACGTGGAACTCTATTTTCACACTTTTCTATGGAGCCTTCCAAATCCCAGGTTTTCACGCTAGGCTGTCTGTCTAGATGGTGGTTTCAGACCTCCATTAACATCCCTACCCAGCATTCCCTACTTCGGGGGCCTTCTCACATGTTATAAAACTTTTTACCAAGTGAAACATCGAGACCACCTTTGTTTCCATTCTCACTGGTGTAAATACTGAGTACTAACTGAGAATTTTGACTTTGCATTCTGTCAGAATACTTGTGTTCAATAAAAATTGAAAGAAAAAAAAAAAGTATGGTCAAACGGATTTATTTCTATTCAGTGAAGAGAATGTTATGTGAATCAAATGTACAAGTGCCTGTGGTTGTGCTGAGCCAGTGTTATCATGTTTATCAGAGTAGAACTGTGCTCCACAGCATTTTCAGTGGCTCTGAGTGGTCTAGAACCACCAACCTTTTGTTTAGCAACTAAGCACATTAACCATTTTCCCCATTTAGTGGTCTTGAGTTCATGTTGCCTGAATCATGGCATCTCGTTTCTTCTCATTGGTTTTAGAAGGGCCAGTCACTTCCAAACTAACCTTGGAAGAGTTGCTTAATCTCCCTGAGACTCAGTTTCCCTTTTGATGAATAGGAAATACCTAACTAATAGAGCCGAGCTAATAGAGCTGGGTAATGAATACAACAAAGTACGAGATGGCTCAACATAGTACCTTCTTGGCACATAACTGGTACTTAACAAATGGTAGCTATTGCCATTGGAATGCCAGGTGTGTGAGACTGTTGAGACCCAACTGGATTAACAGTCAACAGCTGAACTCCAGGTGTCTAACAATGAGGCAGACAGATAAGGCTTGTGCTATTACTTTACCATACTTCTTAGCATTTGGAGCACTAACTCAGCACCTGGCATTATTAAAACCTCTGAGCTAGGCAAAGAATGAAGACAACTTTGCCTCAGCTCAAAATTATCATCTGTGTGATGCTGTCTGAAGGCACAGCCGTCAGAATGGGAGGTATGTGTTAAGCGGGGATCAAGAGTTCCTAGAGATTTGATCACATAGCCAGAGCTAGGTGACACCAAATACATGAAGGCACCACTGTTAGGTGCTGACCCTGCATCACACAACCCTTGAGTGATGACTCCAAACATTTTGGACCCAAGGCGCCTCTCCTGTCTCATCCTAGTCCCTGCCCCAGGTCATGGTCTTTCCCCAGGGTGTTACTACCATTCAGTCCCAGGAGTGGCCCCTTCGCTGGTCTCAGGGCTTGATTTAGTGATACAGAGCCACAAGGCATCTATGTGGTTTCCTGTACCACAGATTTCCAGCTGCACATGGTGGGGCATGTATGGAGAGAGAAATCACATTGCTTATTAAGACTAGAAAGAAACATGAAAAGATAACCCCTCCATTGATCTAGGATGGCTTGCCTCCAGACCTTCCCCTTCCAGGCTAGTCTTTCAGATTCAGTAAATGTTTATTGAATATCTTCTCATTAAGTATAGTAGTGATGTTGTTAAGTGTTGTCAACCTATTTCCAACTCATCGTGACCCTGTATAAAGTTTATGAGGTGGTAAAGAGAAAGCCTCCTCTTTCTCCCATGGAACATCAGGTTGGTTCAAATCATTGACCTTGGGGTTGAAAGTCCAGTGTTTATCCTACAGAACCAGTGTGCAGTGAGACAACAGTGCACAAAACAGCCCTCATAGAACTTGCATTCAATATGGAGTTAAGGGAATCAATAAATACACCAATACCTAATACAAGTGCACTGTGATGTCCCATGGCCATTCACACAAATTGTGGTTCTCCTTTTACGTCTTCCAGAAACATGTCAGGATCACACTTCTCTGTCCACTGGAAGGTGTGACTTTTTCCAGTCAATGGAAGATGAGCAGAAACTGTGCATGTCACATCTAAGCAGAGCATTAAATAGCCAGTGTTTGTCTTACAACAATCTCCTTCCCCCAACTCAACAATCAGCAAGCTCTAGATGATGGACACGCCCTCAACCTGGAACCAGAATCCCAGCAGGCCCATGATGCACATGGAGTGTGTTGAGGAATAAACATTGTAGTGGACTAGAGGGAAGGGAGTGGGGTGTGTATGTGTGTATGTGTGTGTGTGTGTGTGTGTGTGTGTGTGTAGTAAAAACTCTACTGATAGAGAAGATACAATGCAAATAATACTTCTGTATTGAATATTGAAATCCCATATATCCAGTTGATACTCAGAATGCTTTGGTTCATTTCTGCCATGTTGATATATTAATTTTTGCTAAGGAGTAAGATGAAGTGAAACAATGAAGATATATGCCAAGAGTTACTTCATTCATCATGGTGTGAGTGACTGCTTTGTGGATCAGGTAGAAGTTTTGAATACTAAAAAAAATGCTGCTTCAATGTTTTGTGTTATTCACAGCATAATGATTGCAGGCATGGTACATTTTTAGATTTAATCTCATCATCCATAGTTTCCCATTGCTACCTTACATCTAGACAAGAACTAAAAATGTAAATCAATCAACCCTTGTTACTAGATGCTACCCTATGAATAACAGAACAACACACTGCCCAGTCCTGCAGCATCCTCACAATATTTCCTGTTGAGTCCATTGTTGCAGCCACTGTATCAACCCATCTCTCTAAAGTTCTTCCTTGTTTTCACGGACCCTCTACTTGACCAAGCTTGATAGCTTTTTCCTGGGATAACATGTCCAAAGTGAGATGACGTCTTGCCATCCTTGCTTCTAAGAAGCATTGCAGCTGTGCTTTTTCCAAGAGAGATTTTTCCATTCTAGCCATCTATGGTATGTTCAATATTCTTCACCAACACCATAATTCAAATGAATCAGGAGTTCTTCTTAGTCTTCCATATTCATTGTCCAGCGTCACCTGCATATAAAGTGATCAAAACCACCTCAGTCTGCAAAGTGACTTCTTTGGAAATACAATATGCATGCAAAGAAAATAAATTGAAAATACTATTATTCAAATTTACTCACCAACCCCCAAATCAAAGATGAAGAAATTGATCAAACATGAAATTAAAATATATTGATAATTATTGGTGATTGGAATGCAAAACTGGACACAAATAGGAAGGAATAATAGTTGGAAAATATGACCTTGGTGATAGAAATGATCCCAGATATCGCACGATAGAATTCTGCAGATCAACAACATATTCATTGCAAATACTGTTTTGTCAACAACATAAATGGTGACTATATGTGTGGACCTCACCAGCTAGAATTCACAAGAATAAAATGGACTACATCTGTAGAAAGAAATGATGGAGAAGCTCATTATCATCAGTTAGAACAACGCGAGGAGCTGACTGTAGAACAGACCATCAATTGCTTATATGCAAGTTCAAATTAAAGCTGAAGTCTCACTTTTTAAAAACAAGTCCACGAATAGATAAAGGTTTACAAAACAGACTAAATGCTTTAGAGAAAGGAAGACCGCTTAAGGGAAATAAGACTCAATATATCCAAATTACACTCCCAGCTAAGGTTATTCA